ATGATATCATTTCAAAACAACAGGCTATAAGTACAGACATTATGTAATCCAACCTCTAGTATTCCAGAGTAACCTTTTGACCCTTGACGCGTCCAATAACAATTTCGGGCGCATACTTGGGAATAACCTCATCGTCGTGCAGCATCTCAAACTCCTCCGAAGCGTCTTTGCCCATGTGGCTAAAGAGCGCCTGGGGGCCGCCTGGGTGCTCGTCCGTCCAGTTGGTGACGTCCATGACAATGCCCTTTACGGCAATCCACAGATCATCCTTCTTGTTGTGTTTGGCAACCTCCTCGAGAGTAAACTCCTTGTCAGGGATGGTGAACTTTTGAGGCGCATTGGGCTTGGAAACCTTGCCAGGGTCGCTCGAGTCGGCCTTGCTGGACAGGACAGGTGCCGCCGACACCTGCTTCTGTTGTGCAACGGGGTCTGCCGAGCTGACACTAGTCTGAACGCCGTTACCCCACTCTACAGAGACCTTGCCGGGCTGCGACGGGTCAATGTGGAGCGAGATTTGACCGAGACGAGATACTGCAGCACCACCGGCCTTGTTGAGCGCCTGTTGGAAGAGGTACTTGGATGCAGACTCTCCTGCCACGCGACCGTAGACAACGCAGCCGAGAAGTGATGAGCCACCGAGACGGTTGGCGCCGTGCACACCACCAGCAAGCTCACCGCAGACGTACAGACCCTCGAATGGCTCGCCGTTGGAGTTCAAGCACTGGGCCTGGTCGTTGATCTCAATACCACCCATGGTGAAGTGGAGCACAGGCTCCATCTGGGCAACGTGGAAGGTGTCGTTGATGTCAAAGGGCAGGTTGTGGAAGTACTTCTTGTTCCACTCGTCCTTCTTCTCGCCCTTGGCAATCGAGTTGTAGCTCTGGAACTCGGCCTGGAGCTCCTTCTCGCTCACGCCAATCTCCTTGGCCAGCTCCTTGCCGGACATCTTCTTCATCAGGCCACGGCCAGAGTAATGCCTGGTGTGGAAGTCAAGGATGTTGGATGCCTTGGAGTTGAGAACGAGGCGGATGGGCCAGTTGCCCTTGTCCTTCTCGCCCCACATCATGCCAGAGACGTAGTCACGGTGACCGAGGTCGTCGCAGAAGCGCTTGCCCTTGTTGTTGAGAAGGATACCGCCCTCACCACGGAGAGCTAGATAATGTCAGCGCATGCTTGGCAAGGATAATGGTGTGTGTGAACGTACCTTCGGCAGCCAGGAATTTGGTCTTGGCGGTGGGATCCTTGGGGTCAACCAGACCAGTGGGGTGAACCTGGACCTTGTCCATGTCAATGCCATTGGCACCAATCTTCATGAGCATCTTGTGTCCGTCACCAGTGGCGTGGGCGCCGTTGGTGGTGGAGAGGTCGTAGGTGTCTGGCCTCCACTTCTTGAGAAGGGAGTCTTCTGTGAAGTCGGCGGCGTAACCACCAGTGGCCAGGATGACGGGACCCTCGAGCGTGGTCTCCTCGCCGTTGAAGGTATATGTGACACCGGTGGCGCGGTTGCCCTCGGTGTTGACCTTGGTGACCTTGGCCTTCTTGACCAGCTGAACACGCTCGGGCTCTTGCTCGGCAAGCTCTTCGAATCGCTGCATTAGAGCATATGTGATGGCCATACCGGGGAACTTTGCGTCGTGGCCACGGTGGGTTCGGGGCTGGGAGTGACCGCTAGGGAGCTTGTCAGTATGCGCATGCCAGAGCTGGAGTGTCAGAGGAAAACGCACCCCAAGCGCGAGACCAGAGTCAGGTCGAGGTTGAAGACGTCCATCAGCCACTCGACGGCAGCGGCCGACTTGTAGGTGAGGACCTTGATCAAGTCTGGACGGGCCTTGTCGCGGGCCGACTTGAGAGTGTCATCGTAGAACTGCTTGACGCTATCGCCAATCTTTGCATCAACCTGCGTCCTGGTGAGGGCACCGTTGATTCCGGATGTGGCCTTTGTGGAGTTGCCTCCCATGAAGTCTGCGCCAAGGTCAGCATGGGCGGCGCTCTTGAGGTATTAAGCGCAGCTTTGGGCAAAACTTACTGTTCTTGTCGAGAAGGACTACATTGCCTCCAGCAAGGTAGATGGTGTGGGCGGCGCTCAAGCCGGATACTGCAGGTCATGTCAGTCAGTCATGCGCATCATAGCAGCGAGATGAGCGGGAATGCATACGGCCAGCACCGACGACAATGACTCTCTCGGGCATGATGGTGATGGAGGATGCAGATGAAGACAAGGAGAAGGAGAGAAGATGAGAAGAGTGTGGAGAACAGGAGAGCAGAGGAAAAGTCTGGGGGAGCGGCTTCTGCTTTGTATGCATGCAACTTGTGCCTCGGAAGTGGATAATACGCTAACCCGCATGCCCCGGTCCATGGCTGCGGGGCCAATGAGGCGGCGCGTGTTTGTACAGACAATGTCCAAGCGCGAGCCTCAGCATCGCAACAGTTGCGCATACGCATGGCGATGCGATGCTAACCAAGTCGAGCCCGTGGGTGGCCTCCGTGCTCGTGTGGCATGTGAAGGTGCTGTGGATCGTGGTCAGCACCCACATGACAGACGGGCGGGCGGTGTGGTTGGTGGGTTCGCCCCGGCCCAGCGCGTCTCCTCAGTCTGGCAAGGCCGAGGAACACGGCTGCGGGCTTGTATCAGCGAAACCTGGGGCAAGTCACGCGTCGGAACCGCCCAGCCTGCTGCTTGCATGTGAAGGCTGGCTGCCCACGACACATGCACCGTCATCTCATGTCTGGCCGACTGTAGTATGTAGACTCACCACACGCATGCGTATTTCTTGCCGTGTGTCGCCCTCATCATTTTCCCTTGCAATGAACCGCTACTACTTTACCCCCCAAATCTCACGATGCTCATTTTGGCAACTGTCCCCGCAACGCCGTCATAGCCCGGTCGGCCTTTGCTCGTGCCATTCCCACGACAACCAGCGGGCCACATTGCCGTCTTTGGATTCCACCACTCCGCTCTCTTCCCATACCGACTTTTCCCTTCTTTCTCCAACTCGCCCTAATTCTAATGCGAACTTCTCTGGATGCGGCGTCTGCGTGTTCCTGAGTCCATGTCGTGCACTCTTAGCGTTCCATCGGCTTACCTCTTCCAGTCAAGCATCCAACTCTGCACATGACAAAAGACCCTCTAGACACGGACCGCGAGTATTCTCATCATAGACTTTGCAATTGCTCTAGTAATCCGTCCGTCTAATAAACTATCCCATTGCACCGCTGCTGACATTGCCTGATTCTCCAGCCCATGTCATTGGTGCCGTGCACTCGTCTTGCCCGGATATTGCAGGAACCAGCAATAACATGCCCGCTGGTCTCGACCACAGAGAACACCATCCATCTGACCGACTTTCGTCCATATTCCGTCAATAGCCACTGCCTCAAAAGCCTCGCTCAGTGGCACGCAACAGACTTGGTCGCCGAAGACTCGCTGAACATGATGTATCCGACAAACGCACCCACGGCCACGGCAAGCATGATCCACCCGTTGTATGTCATGAACAACAACCTGCAGCCAGTCAGCACAAGCATCCCACCACTGCCTCCATCCATACACTTACATGATGAAAAACGAGTAAAACACCTGCACAGCATACAGGGCAGCCTTGATCATCTTGACCTGCTGCACCGTTCCACGCCCAGCGTTTCCATTTCTCCCTGGGCCAAGTAATGAGCTCGATTCATCTGTTCGTTCGCCGTCTTCTTTGTGGCGCGCGCAAAAATACTCAGCAAGGGTTCCCACTCAGGTCAGGGAAGTTGAAGAAAAGAGACCTCCCTAGTCTCCGACTTCCACGCTTGCGTCGTGCACATTGGGTAATCCACACAAACAACACACTGTGTGGCAATTGACCCTTGCACGGCCAAAAGGTGCCAGAGATGGCCTGTTTATGGCCCCCATTGATCCACAAGAAAATGACATGTAGACTCACCTCGTGGTCCCTCCAAAAGGCCCTTTGCATAGCTTTCATATCGCCTCGACATCTCCCGTATGGCTTCGTATCCCGCCGTGAGAAGCACCACGGCCAGCAGTGAGAAGATGAGAGATCCTGTGCCTGAAATGTGCCATGAGGGAAAGACGATGCAGAGGTCGGTCGTGTCCCAGGTAAACAGCATCTATTGGTTTGTTTTTAACAACGTTCAGTATAAGTAGAATAGCGACCAATGCGCGTCCATAGCCAGTCAGATGTGAAAGGAGCGGCTAGTTGTCGTACATTCATGTTACACTTTGGTCCGTCGCCCCCCATGCCAGGCATGCCGTGGTCCATGTGGCCGTGGTCCATATGGCCGTGATCCATGTGTGAGTGGTCCATCGTGAGCTGCAAATACAGTAGTAGTAAAAGAAATATGCCAAAGATTCTATCGTGTGTACAAAGGGAAAAACAGGGTCCCGCAAAGGTGATAGAAGGAGAGAAGGAAGCGTGGAAGCTAACGCTGCTGACCTGTCACGAGACGTGCGGCGGTTTGAGGGAGTTTAGAGTGAGCACGCACGCGTCGCACCAGTGATCAATGCACAAGCCCGCGGTAAAAGCGGGGCCCATCGATAAGCTCACGCCCCACATTGTAGAGACCCTACCAACGACTCGACTCGACTCTAGACTTTTGTATCCAAGACCTCGACCTACGCTTGGACTCGCAAGCGACAACATCTCCACCGTTCCGGACCTCCACGGCACTCTTTAGTATACAGAAAAGAAAAAAAAAATCACATACTCGACTGCGCGCGCAACGTTCACAATGGCAACGACAATGCGGTCCTTGAGACCAGCTGCCGGCCTCATCCAAACCACATCGCGACGCATACCGCACATATCCCAATCTATACCGCGCATACAACACTCCACACCAAGCGCATCACGACCCATCTCCTCCACCCCCAGCACCCCAATCGGCCCACCCTTGAACATTCCAAAATGGTACCTAACCTACCCGCCCAGCCCCGGCTTCACACTACAAATAACCCACTAACCAGTCCTCGGTAATGATACAGGGTCTCGGAAAACGCCCACATGCTCAAACCCCCCATAAACAACTACTGCGTCTACAACGACACCGTAACCGTCATGATCGTCGGCGGCCCCAACCAACGCACAGACTACCACATCAACGAAACACCAGAATGGTTCTACCAATACAAAGGCTCCATGCTCCTCAAAATCGTCGACGAGTCACAACCTCCCAGCCAGCAATTCCGCGACATCCATATTCACGAGGGCGACATGTTTCTTTTACCGCCAAACACGCCGCATAACCCCGTGAGGTTCAAGGATACGGTGGGTGTGGTGCTGGAGCAGAAGAGGCCAGAGGGGAGTTTGGATCGATTGAGGTGGTATTGTCAGGCGTGTGCCGGGATGGTGTATGAGGACGCTTTTCACTGTACGGATTTGGGCACGCAGATTAAGGAGGCGGTGAATGCGTTCAAGGCGGATGTGGGCAAGAGGACGTGTAAGAATTGTGGCACGGTGTGTGATACTGCGCCTAAGCCCAAGGAGTGAAGAAGAGGTTTGGCATGGAATATGTGTATGTGAATGTATGAGTATGGGAGAGAAAAAAAGTAAAACTCTTTTTTTTTGGTTGGAAATGTAAATTACAGGCCTTTCCACATGATTTTGGATATATGATCCGTCTTCTTTCGACTGGGTTTGACCAATCCCAGATATCTAAGTTCAGCCAATGCTCGTTGGAATAGTGCCCTAGAAACACACATATTAGCATCAATCTTCGTAAACAGCAACAAAAAAGAAAGAAAGAAAACTGACATAGTTTTTGCCTCATTCTCCTCCACTCCATCCCCCGCGATGGCATTAAATGCAGACCACAAATCGCTCACGTTGATCAACGTTCCGGATTCAAGGTACATCTGATACACAATCGCCGTCGCCGGTTGTGTCGCCGAAAGTGCTGCCGCATTACCATCTACACCGCTGCAGCACTCGCAGCCCAGATAGTCATGCGGAGACGCCAGTGCACGTTCAACTGCGAACCGGGGTTTCGGCTGGAACACCTCCATATGCGGGGACTTGAGATCGTACACCAGGACCTCTGCGAGAAATAGCGTCTTGGGATCAATAAACGAAGCACTCAAGTACACTTCGAGCTCATCGTGGAACTGCGTTACGAGATCCGAATATGCTTTATCTTGTTCCGACAATGCGGCTTTGTGCTTGCTCAGTAGCACTTTTTGCGCGACAACCGTGGTACGGAGACTATCGTTGCGGACATCGTGTTGGGTGCGGAGAGGCGCGTCGGCGGTCTCGAGGAGGCTTTGCAGTTTTTGCTCGGGGGAAAGTATGTCCATGGTGAAGTAGGTGCCTACGAGATCTCGTAGTGAAGCAAGCAGCTGCACCAGTTTATCTGATGGGATCTTCTTGATGGACAGCATTGTCTCACGTATCAGAGGTGATGCAGCTAGCTCGCCGGCCGCGGCGCGGGTCCAGAGAGTCGAAAGCCGGACGCTGGGTGATAGTTGCAGTGATTCGCGCATGCTTGCCACGACCTTTGTAGCGTGGCTCAGTGTAGCCATGGCTTGTTGACCGGATTTTAAACTCTGTGTGATTTCGTTAAAGAGATACTCGTCGTCTTCAAGCATTCTCCGCACATCTTGCGTGCGTCCATTTTCGAGCATATCCTCTACCCGTTGCCGGAAAGACGGCAAGTTGCGTACAGCCTTGAACGCATCTGCCGTCAAGTCATCGAAAGCAAGATCGTCAGTGAGGAATATACTAGGCACACTGGCGTAGAAGTGTGACATGTAAGCGTACTTGAGCCCATCGCAGAAATCTTGCGTGTTCTGCACATGATCTTTCTGTCGGTCAAGCATGCGACGACAGATGGTAGGTCCAATATGCAGACCAACATCCGTGCTGGCAACAGTTGCACGGAAAAGCTTTTCAATAATCTCGTCTGACTGTGTGACATCAAACTTCTGGCCTTCAAGATAGCGTAGCGAGTTGCCTGATAGGCGTTCCTCAAAGCTCTCTGCAGAAGTCGCAATACCAAAAAGGAGCACAAAGGGAAGACGATCAAGCCATGAGCTACAGGAGTCAGTAAAACTGGCTGAAAGAGCGGGCCTCACTTACTGCAGGAGGTCAACCATGTCCACAAGCAACCCAACATCAAAAGCTTCGCTATCCTGCAAAGCAATCACAATACTCGAAGTCCGCGTTTTCTTATGCCATTCCTGGACATGAGCAAGGTCGTAATTGAGCAGCTTCGGACCATACCTCGACAATGCAGACGACCGATCTACATCATCTTCATCATCATCGTCCACGCGCGAAGTCACCTTTTTGATAAGATTCTTCAGCAGCGTCTTGAGGTTTGGGCATTCACTCGAGGTTAGTACAACGTAGGCGCTGTTCTCGTCTCTGACTCTTCGGCCAAGACGTTCAAAAAAAGGTCCGTGAGATGCGATACTGGGCCCAGCAACAATGAGCGCCGTTGGTATGGCGAATTTGGCCTCATCGGGAGATGAACTTGCTGTGGAGATGAAATTGGCAATCTTTTCTTGGGTCGCGCTGTCGGCGCCTTCAAGTGTATTCTTTTATTTTTGTCAGATACGCCGGCAGAGGAATGGTTAACAACTGTCGTCTTACTTGGATGCGCTCTTCTTGTTCTGTCCATAGACGTCGGTACGTTGCTAGCCGTTCTGGCAGCTGCGCCTGTGGATTGAATTTGCTCGTCCGTTGTCGCTTGGGTGCCCGATCTTGCGTCTGCGGGGGCTCATATATGTAACATCTTTGATGCTCCATGTTGTGTTTGGTTGCAGTCACAGGGTTTTCCTGGCTTGTTGATGTTGCTGACAGTGAATGGCTAGGGGCTGAGTCGGGAAAGCGCGACAATCGCGAAGCGCGTGAGCACGGGACTTGAGACTAGTAATAAATGGTCAAAGCTCATTGGAAACGCCTTGCTGTACGAAAGACAAAGAAGACAGATTTAGTACACATGTGCTATACCGAAGAGAAATTAGAAGGAAAATTGAAGATAGGAGCTGGTATTGTGCTATTCAGGGGTCTACGTTGACGGCGTTCCGACATGGTCCACTACGACACCTTTAGCCAATGCAACAGCATACAGCGTCGCCTTGAACCATCACTGTCATGGCACTTGCTATGCTCTTATTATGCATACTTGGTAGTTTCTGTCCATCAATTGAGGTTGTCTGCTCAATGTGAGTAACTTAGACGATCTGCATGGACTAGAAGCCATTGTTGGATAAACAATGTCTTAATCACTGGTCACTCGAGCGTTTTCCACTCTGACCTAGAGTGTACTGAGAGCATCTGCTGCTGCACAAAGCATTCGATGCTCAACAGATCACTGGCGCACTGCGTCGCTGTCGTTGCCTACGGGCTGAACGAGATGCACTCTGTTTTCATACCTTTGAGCTCTGGTTATATGTAAAGAGCTTAAACCCCATAGTGTACTTAGTCGTGATCTTCCTCAGTCACTCCAGGGCATCCGTCCATCTCTGGGTCTGAATACTCATACCCGCAATAGAGACAGTAGTGGTACTTGTCACGAAGGAAAAGCAGCAACTTTTCAAGACGCTCTGCCACAGGCAAGGCCTCGAATTCGGCAAGTTCCGGATCTTCATCCTCTAGCTCATTTTCAAGAGTCGTGTAGAAAGGCGCTAGGTCCTTACCCTGAGCAATCTTGGAGTCGTCGTCTTCATCCTCAGGAGCTAATGTGGGTAGTCGTGACGCAATGCTGTTATTCAGTTCTCGCCGCTGCTGCTTATCGCGCTTTGCCTCGACTCTTCGTCGTGCTCGCGCCCGCCAAAGGACATTGATATCCTTGAGCGGTTTCTCACTCGTGTCGCTGGCACCTTTGGCCTCTGCCTCTCTGTCCGCTAGTCGCTCGGCTGTCCTCTGCGCGTTATCCAAGTCTCTTTCGGCCTTCTTCTCTTTTTGCTCCTGTCGCATCACCTCGAGGTAATCGCCCTCCTCTTCCTTTGCGCGTTTCGCGAGTCGGTCGGCCTCCTCGAATTGCTCTCTGAACTTGCGCTTCTTCTCTGACTCGAGGCCAATTCCTCCTCGATCATCTTTCATGTTGACTCGTATCGGTTCTTTTCGCGCGTCACCCGACTTTCCCAACGCATCACCTTGCTTGAAACCGAATTTGGCCATCATCTTGAATCCCTTATTTGTCTCAGGGAGAGCAGTGGCTAGGGCAGCTTCTCGGGCAGCTTCGGCTTCTTCTTCACGTTCAGCCTTTGTTTTCTGTCGTGCTCTGGCTTCGCCCTGGTTGGTGGTTAGCCCGGCGCTGCAGTGTGCAAGTGGAATGACGTACCTCTTTGCGCTTGCGCGCGGCGCGCTGCAATGACGTTTCATACTTTGGACCTTTCGGCGCATCGTCAAACACCATGTTCATGTAATCATCCTCGTCGTCTGACTGCGCCATGGTCGTCGTGCCAAGATGCGGGATGTGGGATGTGAGCGAAGATGTTTTTGGCAGAGTCGCGAGTCAACTCCGAAATAACCGTACCAGAGACCCACCAAAGGTAGCGTCACTTGGCGCATGCCACGGCGGGGCGATCCCCCAGACTTTTCTGTCTGGACGACACGTCTTCTAGTGCTATGGAACTTGACTGCCTTTGCTTCGTCACACAATTCAAAGGCAGAGCCTGAAACTGTGTTGCCAGGGCATGTGAGGCGGTCAGAGCGGCATAGACTAGGAGTGTAACTTCCGACGTACTACATTCATATAGTATAGCCGGTGTCAGCAAAAGAAAACAATAGGGTTCCAGCAGCCAGGAACAGCAATCAACGCCACCCGCATGACATGGGATGGATGATCCTTTGACAAGCCTTGTTCTAGCTTTTGAGCCGAGGATGTGCACGCGACAAGCATCACCGTTGCGAAACACGACTCGACCGTGACAAAACTATCATCTACCTCCTTTTTGCAGACGAATCAGCGCCCAACAGTCCCATTGAACCCTATCACTCGTTACAGCGCAAATATCGCGGCCCGACATGTTGACAGCTACGGGTTCTGAGGTGTCGCAGCACAGAGTCCCTTAATTACGGATCTAAACATTGCATGTGAATCCGCAGGGATGTCGATCCCCCTCTACTGAGCAATAGTTTCTTCAGAATAGTATGTTACCTGCTCGGTTGGGATGTGTCCTTTTGTGCGAAAACGAGGCGCTGCATCCGAATACAGATCGACGGCCGGCCAGTCACTGCTGACATTGGCCATCTTTGTTAGGGGCCTCTCAACCACTAACTGCAACTAGAAAAGACCGTCACAATTTAGTCCGGGGTAGATATTGTTCCCTCACCCTCCGGTCCACCCACGGCTTGCTCCAGTGTTCGCGTGCCACTCTGCTCAAGCATCTTGCAATTTTCTAGGTATTCAGTCGACCCACTACTCAAGGCCAAGGACCACTTGAGATCTCTTGGTCTCCGCTCGTGCCACCAACCACGAGTCTTTTCAGCTGTGTGCGACCCACGCGCCGCTTACAATTGGAAAACAAATAGTAAAAAAAACC